TGGCAAARACATAACATTTAACAATTTAACATGCTAACACTGCATCCAGGTTGCTACCGTAATCCTCATCTATGCAGTGTGATGGAGACACATTTTTAAAAAAAGGAAAACAGACTGTTCCTAATCCTCACTGCCCCCACAGTGCACCAAGAGCATGAGCAAAGATGAGCTCAACAGTAACAYAGTAGTGACCCTACCAAGAATAAGAATTTCTTATTTTCATTTACATTTTGCAGATTTAGTAAACACCAACATCATGATGCCTTATCTGAATCTCAGAGAGAAAGTCAATATCCAAATTGAGGAAGGTAGGAGAAAACGCATTGCAAGATTTTGAAGCACCTTGCTGCCATGTCACAAGTGCTGTGGACAGAGATGTGCGGCTGGTTTGTTTTCCCTAGTGCTGCGTTTCCCATGCTACTGAACCAAGTCTGCCCTGATTCTGCAAAGCTACCACACTGAAAGGTTGATCTAGAACTTTGGAGTCACCCAACTGTTTTGCCTAAAGTCACTATAATCATTTTCACCTGTAATTCAAAATGTAATACCACAATCTCCCTCAAAGATAAAAGGTCCTRAGGAACTCATTGGAAGGCTAAGCAAGCTGCACAGGTCATTTCTTGCAGTGACTCCTTCCAAACCAGGTAGCAGATTTACAAAACGCACAGCATGTTGGAGCAAGTGAATAGCACTGACCCTGGGCAGCTGTTGTGCCATACAAATATTGCTGCTCAGTGTTTYAGTACCCAATTTGTACAATGCCACCTGGTTCTTGTCCTACATGATACAAGTGCTCTTAGCAGCCCATTCCCCCTTTCACATTCGCAATCAGCGGAAAGCAGCTTCGTAACTCCCTTGAAATTCTCTATTGACACTTTATCTTGGTATTACACCACACACATCATTATGCACTTACATAGTTATATCTTTGTCCCTTTCATTCTATAGAGGAGGCTCCGATCAAAGAAGTGATTACCTGGCCAAATGATTGGCTTTGGTCTTGGGGATTGCCATGTCAGTAACACTGCTTATGTTCAGTACAGGGAACTGTGCACTAGAAGCCAAACTTCAGAAAACCTCCGAAGAATGACATGGCTACGAAGGAGGGCATCAATGCAAAGGTCTTCTCCATACAGATGGAACAGAACACTGGGAAAGCCAAGCTAACTTCTGCCCTTAGCTACCAAAGCAATGTTAAGTACTTCTGTAAGGGGTTCTTCCTTTCAGCGAATATGCCTAGTGGGTCATAAACCTCCACCATGCAACACCTCTATCTATAATACGTACACAGCAAAGCAAAATCTCCTGAAACCCATTCTAGAGTACAGGAATTTCCTCTGCTCCATCAAAAAGCAAAAGGATCAATAAAGACTGAATCTGGAATTAACCAGGCAGTTAAATGAGTTCTCTTGCTCTTGTGCATTTGAACTAACAACCAAGCTTGGCTGCTCATTTTAATTATGCATTAGAAATTCTATCAAGCTGATAAAGGCAGAAACAGTTTCCAGAAAGAAATCTAGAGGTCTGGTCACAAGAAGGAAATATTTCAGCATTCCCACAGTACATGATAGCTAAGTAAATTTGTCCCTGGTAGTGAGATGATTAAAAACCTCCCCGSTTAATAATAAAAAAATTATCACCTCACTGCCACCCAAGGTAACAGGAAGTCTAGGAAGACCCTCAGTGGATTCACAATAATGGGAAAATATGGAATATGCACATAGTTAAGAAGAACCAATACAGAACTTTCCAATCTTGTGGAGATTGTGTGGTTAATGCCTGAATTAAACTCTCCTAGACTGAAAAGCTGCCTTGAATTGTAATTCACCAAGCTGCAGTCAGAATGGAAAATTAAGCATACCAGTCAGGACAATGCCTCAGATTTGCTCTGGAGTTCCATTGTTACTTAAGTTGGTCTATATAGTGAAATACCACAATGGTTTCTTCTCTCAATATTGGAAAAGGCCTATCTTGTATCAAGTCAGTTGAACATGCTGCAGCATCAGTTTTCTTCTTAGAGGCTAAAGAGGTGCTCATTCAATCAAGTTACCTTTGGGGAAATGAAGGCTGGGCTCCATCCCTGCTGTCGCTGAAGCACAATTTTAGTTGCCCAGCATTSCTCTAGCTCACACTTGCCAACTCCATGACAGAAGCAAATCCTCTGATTTAAAAGACTMAACTTGGCTCCCACTCTTCCAGATGCAGGCAAGTAGTCAGCCAGTATTACAGGAGGGGAAGTTTTTTAGGAGTTAATACAGGTAGGTTGCGCCCAAGTAATGTACAATTCCAAGATACACAAATAATGAATCTAAGAAAAATAACCAAGAAAATAAAGAATACTCTAATCCATTCCTGCTTCAGGCTTCTTTTTCTAGAGATCATTCAGAGATTATAAGTTGAGTAATATAAAAATATTTTTCCCTCTACAGAAAAAAAGCTGTTGCAAGATATTCCTTCAGAATCAGAGGCTTAAAAAGTATGATAAGCTACAAATACAAGATACTAATATAGATAGCATGGAAGATCAGAAAGGACAAACTAGAAACACTTACAATATATGTATATTTTGGCAGAAATTACCCTTATGTTCTAAAAATTCAAGTCAATTATTCCTGTTAGAGAAAGAGGCTTTTAGGTCAAGCTATCCTAGACTTGCTTATTGTGCAACTTCCAGTCCTTGTGTAGCCTTGGGTGCAGGCCCTCCCTCAAAGGCAAACACCTAACATAGACCACTCTGCTGAGATGGTTTTGTTGCTAACAAATTATTTAAATCAATGTCTCAGTTAAATTATGTAAATTTATGTCCCTCTTTAAAGGTTGGCTAGAAAATTCTAACTTACCGCCAAGTAACAAGATCTAAACCACATTTTCACTCCAGKGAAGAATCAACATAACTTGAGTTTTTTTTGGACATATGAATATGCCTACTAGTTATAGCTCATAAGTACCAGGATGTGACCTTGTTCAGCAGAATTTTCAAGCCAGGGTCTGATCACCCTACAATACACACTGCAACTACTGCCTGTTGCACTCTCTCCTCCTTCCTGCCCCCACAAAGTTTCCTAGTACATGAAAAGTCATCCTGAGACAAACTTTGAAAATGAAGACTAAGGATTTTTTTCAGAGGAGTCATTTCAGCAAATAAAAAACCACCTTTTTCCCTGACAGCTCTAATGTTCAGTTTCTTCAGTGTCACTAAAAAGAAACAGAAAATTTGAAGAGCTTTAGATGGCCCTAGTGAGTCTTACCTGGCCCACCCTCACCCATCTTGTTCCCTAATTCTTTGTGTTTTTTTTTTTATACTGGTCTTTATATGTAGCTTTGGAGTAGAACCTCTATCCAATTCTTGTAACCGTGAGTGAATGCATTAGACAATATTTAGAGATGTATTTATAAAATTAAAAATATATCTTAGACCTATACTTGATATATATTTAAAGATTCTCTAAAACTCTCATAATCAATCTTATAAAAATCTCATGAAACTTACAAAAAATGAATGTAAGAGATCTAGAAGTTTTTTCATCTTGTCCTATATTTGGGTCATTACATTTGTACAATAGACATATATTTTACCCTGTGGGCAATTTGGTAGTCCTGAAAATGGAGTTATTTTATTTAAGATATGTCTATTACTTGGTAAGATTATTAAAAGTATTAGACCAAAAAATGCATTATCTTTCTTTTCATCTATCCCTGAACTCAGTCTTCCTTCTATACGAAACCTTTTGACACCAGGATCTCTGCACATACAGCAGCACAATGGGTTGCACTAAAGAATTAGAGTCATGCCGTTCCTACAAGGTCACCAGAAAATTCAGGTTAACTTGCAGATTACCAAGAGTCATCTCAATATAAAATAAAAGCAAACTGTGCTTTCAAATTTCCTCCAGAGGTAGTACGCTTTATAGCTACCACCTATTGACGCATTCACTCTGCTCTCAGGCATTGAATGAGCAAAGCTCGCAGAAAGCTGAGTGTCTTAACAGGAAACTTTATAGCTTCATGTTCAGCCTATTTACAATCAAGACGCAAAATTCAGTCCACAAAATACCCTGAAAATGGATTGTGTGTTGAGAATACCATGATAAAATACACATACGCATAGTTTCTTGGCAATAACTTCTCAGATGTGTTGCAGAAGTTAWGAAGATTGAGCACAGTGAATGTGCATATTCCCATGAATTTGCAGAAAAAGGTCAAAGAGACTTTACTTCTCCAGGTCTATTCCACAGAAAAAGGGAAAAAGAGTGAAGTGATTTACTTCAGTTAGTGTAGGTCAGTGGCAAAACAGGAAGAATAGCTCAAGCTATCACATTAAGCCATTACCTCACACCACTTAGAAGCACTTATGCATTGCCGGTCTGGCAGAACTGTAGGAAATTGCCATGGAGAGGGCAGGCAGCCTAGCAGTTTGACTAAGATCATGAGGATGAGCACTACTTTGTGCCGGGCTTGCTGTGGCACACAACTAGTTTCAGTGTCTATCAGCTTTATTGCTAACTTGTTACATCAAGTCAAGCAAAAAGACTTTTATGCATTATGCACATCTGGCTAGCTACTCATGAAACACGATGCTAAACAGGAGAAGAATTTTGCTTTTCTCTAAACACAAGTAAATACTATTGCAATAAGTAAAATATAAAAGCTTATTCACCAAAGCCTTTTTCTTCTCCTTTATATATTTTCATAAATGTATTTATATATATTTATATATGTCCTATATATGTGTACAAGGTCTAAAATATATCTGTCAATTCATACTTGCTCTGAAAACTAATGTCACTGCACAACTCTTCAGGGCAAAAGCCGAAAGCTACATATTCTAGGCTCAGTAAATCCTGCAGATTTGGTCCCTTGATTTCATTTTTTCAATTAGTCTTCCTTAAAATCACTAAGTTCAGTACAACTGGTTTCTGGGAGTTTTAATAATTACCTAGAAAAGAAAAGAGCTAAYAGCCTTTCTAAGCAGTAGAGAAAGAAAAGGTAACTTGACTTACTTTCCTCTGGTCATGTCAAAGCCAGATGCTTTGAGGCTGGCATCCTGCGGGGTGCTGGTGGCTGGCTGCTTGAGCAATCTGTTGCCTGTAGCTGAATCCCTGCTCTCAAAGACCTCTTGCAAGAGCAGGGTCTCTCTGGGACTGCTCTGGGGAGATGCTCCACTGCTGTTAGACCGGCCGCCAATCTTATCCTCATCTGGGTCACTGTCACCATGTCTACTCATCAAATGGCTTGCAGGAGTAGAGGCTGTAGGACTGGAGATTTTCTTCACTGCTTTCTTTTCACGGGTCCTGCCCAAAGGTGCAGAAGTGAGTTCCTGTATTCTATTTCCTTCGGCAGCTTGGATCTCAGAGTGGGGAGACTCCAAAGCTGTCCCTGGGTTCACAGAGCCATGCGTTGCAGCAATCAGAGTGAAGTCTGAGGGACTTGTGTGGGTTTCACCATTCAAAGCTGTAAGCCAGAGCTTGCGTGGAGTATTAGCTTCACTACTACCGCTCTGTAAATTCAAGAGAAGCAGTAAAATTACCTCCTTCATCCTGTTGGGTTGCAAGGTTCTACCAGATACCCTGCATATATTCCCTGAGCAAGGGTCCTGCCACTTCTTCCCTCTCCCAAGCTGCTGCACATACAGTGAGTCTACCCAGAGAATGCCCTGSTGGGTTTTATTTTTGTAGAAAGGAAACAGGTTTTGGTGTTTCAAAACTGAATGAGGAAGCTCAGTTTCCTGTTTCTGTGGATTTCTCTGCAACCTGTGACCCTTTGGAGAAGAGGAGCTTGGCAGCCTTTGTGGGAGGAAAAAAGGAATTTCTACAGAAGCCACAGGATAAAGATTAAAGGCACAATAGATAGGTGGAAAAAAGATGTACCATGAAGTAATCCTGGGGGATCAAAATGAAATTACCAGATAATTTTCCTTTCATATGTACATGTAGAAACAAGTGACCTGACCTGTCACATGTGGCCTTTGGACAGTTTGTACTTATGACCTTGTTATTGAAAAAAGACCTGACCTGTCATCATCTATCAAGGCCATGTGTCTTGCTGTGTCTTCTATTTCACTTGGACTGCTCAAGTACTCCAGTGCCACAAACAGGGAAATGTTAAGGAAGAGATCCTCACTGTCTTCATGGATATGCTTCATGCTTGTGAAGGCATTCCCTTATGTACTTAGCTTCATCTCTTCTTTACGCCACAGCTTATGCCTACCACATTGCTCTGAAAGCTCAAAGCATTCTGAATGCTGCTGCTTGAGAAGTACTGGAATCAAATCCTGGACTTACCTCAGAGCTGCGAGCCAGTGCAGCAATCCTTCTGTGATCCCCAAGATGAGATACTTACTCATAACAGACCTGGTAGAAATGGAATGACAAAGGTGTTCCTCAGGAACAACTGGTGGCAGGACATTAGAGGGCATTTCAAGCACTCTTAAAAGCTTATGTACAAGCAACTGGATCCTACCTTTGATTCCCACTTTGTATAGTGGCATTTTAGATGCATACTTCACCTGCAGACTTCTAAATCCAATACAGATAAAAACTGCAAGTTTATGTGGGAGAGCTGCTACTAAATCAAGTCTCATGACCATCCCGCTGAACTGAGTTGGTCTACTGCATTAGCTACTTGGTCTAGTCTAAACAGATTCTCTCGTATGTTATACCAATATGGCTGTGYCAGCTCAGGTCAAGATCTCCAATACCCCCAGGAGAAGAGAAACAAATGTCTCTTTTCCTCATACCATTCACTGTAAGCCCTCAAAGCATATCCAAGGTTTCTGAGAAATTTTCAGCTCCCATACTTCCTTTTCACTTTACTTGCTCATATGGGCAAGTATTAAAGGGGCACAACAGGTACTTTTCTTTAAAGGGGCTGCATTTTACTGATTACAAGTCATATGGTCCAATAACAATCACTCAAAAATTAATGGAGTAAATTCAAACTGTGCATWTAAAATACAATTTGATGAATTCAACAACATGTTCTTTAATTTTGTTATCATTGCATAAACAGTCCAGACTGCCCCTCAAAATACCACCTTTCAATCTTAAATTAGTAAAAGGGAAAAACAGTAGGGAGTGCAAGTTGTTTAGAGAAGACCAAACAGCACAAAACTTTTCTAAGTGAAGGTCATTGTGTTAATTTTACTAGACAACAGCACGAATTCTATGCACTTCCAAAAACTCACCCGAAATTTGGATCCAACTAAAGCAGTCATATTCCATCTCCAGTATCACTCCTTCAACAAACAAGCAAGCCAAATACCTATAGCATTTGGGCATGTCTTTGATATAGTATCATCTATTGGCTGAGATGTTTCAAGTATATTCTAACACCTTTTACTTAATTTTTCCTGTGAACAAGTTTAGTCTCCATGGGTATAATTATATAATGGGAACATGCACTTCATGAGAAACATTAGGGAATGAAGGAGATGGCTCTCACTTCAGCCAATTCTTGGGGTAAAGTTGGCACCAGAAAACTTGACTGGGCAGTGGCTATGGTCTGGAAAGCTTTAAGAGGTAACTTTCAAGATTATCTTTGCACAACTGGTTCATTAATGGAAATAAATACCACTACCATTTCCCTGGAACAAGACAGCAGCAACACTAGCGGGTGTTAAGCTCAAATCTTGACCATTTCCCTCTTGCACTGCCTCCTAAGCATGAGGAGACAGTGCTCAAAGCATCCTAGCCTCTACAGGKGGACAGTTTAAGCTAGAAGACAGTTTAAGCTTTGGGAAAGCTTAATTAGACAGGTGATAAAACAATCCAAGTGCCTTGAAATCAGAGACTGAGGGAAGTACATTATAAATTCTACAAACCCATTCCTAAAAAAGGCTTGGCAACATCCTACATTCTTTTTATTTATTTCAGGAGAGTGTGGCAAACCAGGGACTAACTCATCATTTCTCAAGGACAAACTTACAGGATGGACACTTCATCTGTCTGATAGCATGCAATTGCCATGCATTTTTGTTTTGTTTAGTAATACTGTACAGAACAAACAGGTGCTGCTGGAGATAAGCAAAGACAAGCTGCCATGCTAACTCATTTCCTTGTGTATCCATTAGCAATACACTAGGCAAAGGAGAAGGAAGCCAGAACTGTGACAAAGACTAGAGCATTAAGAAATGCCTCTGTTGCATGCATTCAAATCTGCTGGGCTGCTTGCTCACAAGTGAATATGGGTCAGTAAGAGTAATCCCTSAGCCCTCTGGAACAGCACTGCTACAAAGGTTAAAACAACGTTTATCCAGCACTGGAAGCAGACAAAGCTCGTGGCATRTTTACAGGCAGGACATCAAATGCTGCTAAACTCTCCAGATTGTGAATCATCTTGGTTTTACAGTCTGCTGTTTTCAGCTTGCGTTTGTCTTTGCTTTGTCAAAAACGGTCACTTGATTTTGCTGCTTTTTCACTCACGTCATAGCTTTGGTAGCAAAAAAGGGCATAACAAAGTGAGAGGTGACTGAGAAGCAAAACAAAGGAATTGCAGAGAGACAAAGATCAAAAAGATGATCATGGGAAGACTAACAGTTCTGGAAAGGCAACTCCATGCTAAAATTGCTATCTACAAGCTGAATTGAACTTCCTTAGAACCTGGAGGTGATATTGGTTTCGACCTTAAGATAAACATGCAACTAAAATGCTCAACAAGTAGAACACCAGATGTTCTACTTGTATGTAGATGCAGAACACCAAAGCACCCAGGTTGCTTTGTCTGCAGGGCATGTCCAAGCATCCCCTCTTTTCTCCCTGCATGCCTATATCCAGRTACAAACCAACAGGAAGGTGAAGCTAGAGAAATGCCATGTGCATCAAGATTATCACTAGCCTTACAAAAATGGCACGAGAGGCCAGTGTTAGCAAAGAGCCCTTTTCACAGAGTCATCCCTTATAGTTCCTTCAATTTAAGGAAAGAAAAAATATCTAAGACATTCCAAAACAATAGGGAAAGGCAGCCCATAAGTCATGAAAGTTCCAAGTCTWTCAAATTGCATAAGGAGCAACCCACAGTTGGTTATGTCGGCTCTCTGCATGGTAGAAAAATCAGACTCCAGTGATACTTGATATCCTTCCCATCACTGTTTCTTTTAACTACTGTTTCCATAGCAAATATGCAGACTTGGTGTTCTCCAGGCACCTCCTTCCATCACTTTGCATATAGAAGTATTTCATAGMAATACATTTTTTTCTTCCTCTAAGTAGCTCTGTCAGGAATAAGAGTCCTCATTTCTTCTAGGGACACAGAGCTACATGACAGTTCTAAACAATCAAATAGGGTTCAGTTGCTTGACTACAGCTTTGAGGTCTGAATCTCAACCACTTCTTTAAAAAACCATAAAGAGGGAACATGGTAAAGAATATGAAAAACAAGTCTTAATATGATCCAATACAAATATTTCTATAAAAAATCTGTTATCATCCAAGACTAACAATTCTGATCCTGGTTTTGTTGTTTTTTCTTCATTTARCTCCCATATGACACCCGTGGGACCATTCTTTTCCTCATTTTACTTGCAATTGCTTGGTTTCAGTTTTTCAATACTGATTAATACTGCATTTGGAAGAGCAYATGTATGTAAGTATTAAGATCATGTGTTCCAAAATGAGCTATGACCAAACCACCTGGGGCATTTGAAATGGTTTAGTGGGACAGATCCAAAACCAACGATGGYAATACAGCTATGGGCATTTCAGTACACATAAATTTACTGGTATTGTCTCATGTTTTTGCTGCTGTACTTGAAGCTTCTCCTAATTCTGATTGCATAGATGCCTAAAAATTCATTACAATTGTTCCTAGGGTAGGCTAATGAACTGCACAGAAATAGATGTRCTATCCTCCAGTTAGCAAACAAGCTTTGGTACAATGACCATGTTCTGTTTTCCCTAGAAACAACGACTTGATTTGCYTGGTGTTTTCCAGTTCAAATTTCTAAGGCTAGGAGGATAACTGGTTACAGTACAGCGGTCCTCTCCAGATGGAAGCAGACCTGTGGCAGAGTTGCTTTGTCAGGCTAATTTGAGAAACCCATTTCATACACATATAAAAGGTATATTCTGGTAGAGACCTCAGCTTGGACTGCTCAGTTTCTTTTATAGAATGTATCATGTTCTTCCTTAAGATAGATTGGGATCTGTTTCTTAAGGATTCCMTGTTTGACAGTAGGGCAACTACCATCCCTAAAGATAGTGAGGTGTTAYTTTAATTTTCAGTCATCATGAGACAGATAGCCACAGACAAAGCCTCAGGTCACAGCATTATCCTGTCAGAAAGGAATTCCAAACAGACTTAACCTGACTCTTCATTGTAGCCTGTGGATATAAAGGTCAAAAATAGCCCTTGAAACCTCTGAACTCGCAGTTGTCAAATCTCACCTTCTGTCACTGGGTGGATTGCTAGTAGTACATACAGCTCTATTTAACCAGAAACATGGAACACATGAAGCTCCACCTCACTTCTCATCCTGCATGGATGAGAATACCAAGCTCTACGACTACACCTAAACTCCTATTTAGACTAGCTATTGTAAACCAAGAAAACAGTTCCATTCTCTGCAGCAATGGTCACCAGGAATGGATTACAAGT